AAGAACTGTGTCCTAAATTGTGTCTGATCCTGAATTTTCACCTGGTACTTCCTGGAAAAAAATCCTGTATGATGTGTGACTTGTGAGACCACTGCAGCAAATTATTAACCTCAGGATAGGAGTAGAGAGAATTTTTTATATCAAGGGAGGGACAGTAGATGTCAGAACTGGTGAAAAGTTTTGACTGCCTCACAGAAATCAGCCTTGGGCTGTTGATCTTATTTTCCTCCCCCAACACCACAAAATTTTAGACTAAAATCTGAAGGAACACAGGCCAAACTTTTACAGGTCCAGAAATAGAGCTATTGAGCCCAGAAAAAAAAAAAAAATTACTTGTGGGAATGCCCGTGAGAACACTATGCTACATTAAAAGTTCCATAAGGAAAACAGATGGTTTGTTTTCTGCTTGGTCAAGAGATAGCAGAAATGTCTGATTGGAGAGATTATCTAGAGATGAAAATCTGCTGTACGAATATATCACTTAAAGAAGAAGAGGCCATTTCATGTCAAATTACTTCCTCAGTGAAAATAAATGTCAGCCATTTGATAAGACTTATTCATGGTAGGCACTAAGGATCTCACTACCACATACCAATGATTCTATCTAAAGCAAAAAGAAGCCCTGAGCCAGTGGTTCTCAACCTTCCTAATGCTGCAACCCTTTAATACAGTTCCTCACATTGTGGTGACCCCCAACCATAAAATTATTTTTGTTGCTACTTCATAACTGTAATTTTGCTACTGTTATGAATCGGATGACCCCTGTGAAAGGGTCGTTTGGCCCCCAACGGGGTGGCAACCCACAGGTTGAGAACTGCTGCTCCAAGCACTCAGATTCAGAGTAGATTTACCTTTCCAGTGGTCTATGTCTCTGAAATGATTCCGGAACAGTGTTGCAGATCACATGAAAAATAAGAACAAAAATCAATTTCTTAGAAAGACCTGTAGTAGTTACCTGAAGGACCTGTCTTCTTTCATTCCACTTTCGAGTCATTCGAAAATTCCCTTTCTTCTTAAATTTCACCTATCCCATATTCATTTAATATTTTGTTGTTGTAGTTCCACTGAGTTGGTTCTGACTTGAAGCAACCCTATGCACAACAGAATGACATACTGCCAAACCTGTACCATCCTTACAATTATGCCTATGCTTGAGCCCATTGTTGCAGCCACTGTGTCAATTTATTTTGTTGAGAGCCTTCCTCTTTTTCACTGCCTTCTACTTATCATGGTCTCTCCTGACAACATGTCCAAAATACAAGAGACGAAATATTGCCATCCTTCCCTCTAAGGAGCATTCTGGCTGCATTTCTTCCAAGACAGTTTCGTTTGTTCTTTCGGCAGTTCAATGTTTGTTCAATATTCTTCAACACCATAATTTGCATCAATTCTTCTGCAGTATTCCTTATTTAATGTCCAACCTTCATATGTATGAGGCAATTGAAAATACCATGGCTTGGATCAGGTGCACCTCAGTCTCAAAGTAACCTCCTTCATTTTCAACATTCTAAAGAGGTCTTGTGCAGATTTATCCAATACAGTGTGCTGTTTGATCTCTTGCCTGCTTCTTCCATGAACATTGCTTGTGGATGCAAGCAAGACAAAATTCTTGACATCACTCTTTTCTCCACTTATCATGATGTTACTTACTGGTCCAGTTGTAAAGATTTTGGTATGTTTTCCCTCCATCAATACCTTTAGGGTGTCCACCTCCCTCACAGCCACTTATGTATTTGATTTGCCTCCAAGGGGTGGCAAGAAGTACTATTAACAGAGAAGTGGAAGATGTGAGCAGCAAAATGGGGGATTATCAGATGACCTGGTCACTCAAATGCACATATATATTTCTGGTTTCCATACCAGAAAATGAGTGATGGCCTACATCACAAGGGCTTTGGTGACAATGAACAGCAACCACAATCTATAGTCAGGAATAAGACCCTATAATAAAACTTGAGCCCTTAGTTCACACTGGGCTGGCAGTAATGGGGAAGGCATAGCTAAAAGTTTCTAACATAGGACCTGTGGTCTAATTGAGATTACTAGATGGTACTACCTTTGTTCAGTAGATGCCTGGCTGTCTGGCAGATGAGCCAACCACTGAATACCTCCCATGACACCAGTGTAAATAGAAGTGTGCTAGTTCCACTAGAACACAGCCTCTGCAGATTCAGTAGCAATGGAAATGATACATTGCTATGAGAATAAAAGCTGGCAGAGACTCTTTTTAAACAAGATTGGCAGTTTCTAGTAAGGTTAGATCTACACCTGACACATGGCAGCAATCTCACTTTTATGCGTATATGGAAGACAAAGGGAAATTTTATGTTCAGAGAAACTTATTTAGGAATGTTCACATTAGCATTATTATGAGAAGTGGAAACCCAAATGTCTTCTTAATGAAGAACACACTAACTGTGGTGTGTCTATAAAACAGAATACTACACAACAAAAATAAAATACTATCAATATATTCATCAAATGCATCATGCTAACTGAAGAAACTCATAATCATAAATGTATATGGTCAGGGCAAGACTGCACTAAAAATGGGCAGTGCAAGCAAAGTTTGGGGGAGGAAAGTGATGTATTTATACTTCCATATTTTTACTGACAAGACTGAACACATTTTATCATCTGCCTAAACTGAACTGCTGTTTGGAAATTTTGAAGAAAACTCTTTTAGTGCCAGTTGATATTCGGGTGTGTTGCTGGTCATATAACTCCCTTTCTGCTGGAAAATGACTTTCATGATTTCTACTTTCCACCATCAATAAGTGTTGCCCACACAGAGCTCAAGGATTCTCATAGGTTGCTACAGTGGGTATTGGTATGTCACAGGAATGTCTACTATTCAGTGACATTTCAAGGACCCTTATTTGAAGAGTCAGTGAGGTAGCTGTTACTCAACATGTGGTAGTTATATAATCGTTTGTCAATTTGAGGATTAAGAGTGTAGGGGTGGAGTCTAGGCAGTGAATCATGATATAGTCAATGAGGTCTCTGTGTGGGCATGGCCTTCCCCTAAGGATTCTGGGAACTATGGTATTTCCTTCTTGGAGGTGGGAGACACTTCTCTTTCTCTATTCACTTCCTGAGAGACATTGCAGCTCACAAGACACATGGACCTACCCTGATGCAACCAGACCTCTGAAGCCAGAGAAGCCACGTAGAGACCCCTGCCATCACTGAGATGCTTACAACACCGATTGTCCTGCATTCTGTGTCATTGCACGTGTTTCATGAGTCTGAAGAGGGCTTTATAGATTGGTTTTGGACATATGGGCTAATATCTGCCTTAAGGGCTTGGGCTGAACTGGGTTGAGATGCTTTCTTGATGTACAATTACCCTTTATATAAAATTCTCTTATACACATGAGTTTCTATGGATTTGTTTCTCTATTCTACCCAAGCTAACACACGACATGTGAGAGACTGGTACTTGGTAGACCTACAAGCACAACAGTGACTTAGCTTGTGCCTACTAATGCAAAAACCCTACCTAGCATCTTGTTTTGTCTAGGCCCTGTAGTGGGCATGCACATCAGAATCCATTTTAATCCAGCAACAGGAGCCTCTAGTCAGCAACAGGAGCCAAGTGCATACCTTTTACAAATGACAGAATGATCAGAACTAGGACTTTCCTACTGAGCACAGGCTCTCAGACTGCAGGATAGATTACTGAAGCTAAGTGAAACTGGGGCAATGTTGATACACATGTGCCTTGGATACAAGAATGAACCATCATTCCATGTAAATCCTGTTTATCACAATGCCATTTAAAAGAAAAGCACTTCTGTGGGATGACATCGGGTTACAACTTTTTTTCAGTCTCTTAATCAGTAAATCAATGTTCAGGATTGTCATCAAGGAGCATTGGATGTAGTATAAAACATGTCCACTACAACAATAATTACAGTAAAATCTCAATTCTGTTAAAAATATTGTTTTGCACTCAGAAGGCTGAATGGAAACAACATATTAAAACATGCTCAGATTCCAAGGGACTTTTATTTTTCCATATTTTTCAATTAAAAAATTTTTTCTACAAGGAGTGTAAACTAGAGTTTAATCCCCCAAAATCTAAACACATGGCATCAGGTTGATTTTTACATATAGCTACTGTATAGACTGGAGTAGAACTTCCCCATAGGGTTTCTGAAACTGTAAATCTTTAAGAATGAATGTAGACTGTCACATCTTT